AAGAGGTGATGTAGGAGAGCAACAAGGGGGTGCAGGGACTGGTGCCCATGGGCAGAGGAGATGTGGTCTAGGCGGGTACCCTGAAGGTCTCTGGCTGTAGAAGTGAATTCAGGAGCCTGAGGCTGGGAATGGACAGGCCTGCTAAGAAGCCAGATGACCAGTGACCTGACAGTGTTGACCCAGAGCCTGAGACAAGCCTGGATGAGGTAAGTGGGAGACCCTGGTGACCCCAGCCCCCCCCCATTCTAGCCTTACTTGGGCAGGAACAGCGGCCCTGTGCAGACATAGACGTTTTGGTAGGTGCGGGTCAGACTCCGGCTGTACTTCTCCAGGTTGTTCCAGGCATTCTGGTTGAGGTGGGGCACCTGGTGGGAGAGGGGGCTCAGAGACTGGGCAACCCTAAGGGGTGGGCACTGGCACCAAGCCCAGCGATTCCAGCAGGGTGGAGGGGACAGACCTGCAGAGGGAACTGATTCGAGGAATGAAAGTCACTCCTTTAGGCCACCTGGCCATGAGGGTGGGGCCCCGGCAGAGCTCAGTGGGTGCTAGCGGCCCCTACCTGGAATGAAAGGACTGGCATCCCAGAGCTCAAAGCCCTTTCTCAGCTCCAAGAGCCGCCCTTAAGGAAAGGGGACATTTCCCCCTTCCAGAGCAACAGGCCCGCTCCCAGTCTCTCCCTGGCCCCCGTGCAGGGCCAGCGGGGACGTCGTGGACCTGCTCCAACTCCACCTGCTCCAGTCCTCAGGACTGTCTAGTCCCATGGGGAGGGCGCTGTGCCGCTGGGAGAGCCCGGCCAGGTCGGGCTCAGGCCCCAGGGGATCACCAAGGCCCCCCACCCGCCTTCACCCAGCGGGCGCCAGGCCCTCGTGGGAACAGGACGGGCAGGAGGGCAGCGTGCCCGGGGCGCACAGTGACCGCGGCTAATGGCTGGCTGCCAGCAGGTGCCCTTCCCGTTCCTCCCGTCGCTGCCTCCGCGAGCCCCGGTTCCCCACCACAGCCAACACTCGCCCCGGGCCCGGGGCGCGCTCAGCTTCCATAGGCGCCGAGCCCGCGGACCCCGCGCCGCCCAAGGAGGAAGCGGCGAGCCCGACGCCCCCGTTTACAGGCGAGGCGAGGAG